TTGTCAATTGCATGAAATTACTTTGGTTCCACCTCGTCCTCATTCCTGCAGGGTTTTTTTTGTAATGCCGGAATGATTTTTTGTATGGACTTTAGCAAGTAATCTACTCAGTCAAGGTGGGAGGGTTTCACCAAGGAGTACTGATTTCTCTATACTTATGGAGAGGGTTTATGAATCCTCAAACGGAAATGGACCGACTAGTAATGGCCACATGGTTACAAGGCACTCTCCTTACAAGGTCATTCTCTAAGGGATTGTTACGATGGTTCGATGTAAGAGTTTTCTATGTCAAAGTAACATCCATTTTACATTGAAATTAGTAAGTTCCTATTTATTGTTGATTGAGAGTAACATCCATAATTGTAGTCTGTTCTAGCATTTTCTGTGATGCTTTAATCTTTTGTGCTGGTAGTTTTCATTTGGTTAACACCATTTTCAAGTCTTTTGCACAAAAGATTAGTATAATAGAAAATTAAAATCCATAAATTTATTAATCATATTAATCCACTGTATAAGTAGAAGAACTAAGTTGTCTAGTTCTGTTAGTTTTTGTTCCTGCATTTTTTTGTTTCAATTTGTGATGTCCATGTGAGATTTTTAAGGGATAAATCTTAGTTTTCAGTATGATCTTTTCTGTAAATATAGATATCCATTCAGGATTTGATAAATCTTTTTCTACTTACAATAGCCTTTATTTTATTTGTTGTCAAAACATATTTAGCAGCTCATCTAGAATCTAAGTTGATGTCCGACGTTGACTCTTTAATCTTTTGGCTACTAAATTGATGCAACTGGTTTGTTGTTTATCAATCCATTGTTTTTTTATGAATTTCGGATTACCTATAATGGTTATAAGGTTATTGGGATAGACTGAAACTTGTAAAATATAGATATTCATTCAGAATTTGATAAATTATTTTCTACTTCCGATACACTTTATTTTATTCGTTGTAGAAACATATTTGTCAGCCCATCTGGAATCTAAATTGATATCCGACATTGACTCTTTAATCGTTTTTAAATATTTGTCTATATTTCTGTCTACTAATTTGATGCAACTGATTTATTGTTTATCAATTTATTTAAACGCCCTTTGTTGCAATTGCTTATCAATTCATTGGTTTTTATACTTTTTAGATTACCTATAAGTTATTGGAATAGACTGAAACTTGTTAGATCTTGATATTTGTTTAATTTGCATCTGAAATTGATCGATCGCAGCACTAATCAACATGTATTCTATTACTTTCTTCGTGTTTCTGTTTTGTTCCATGTTTATAATATCAGTATAAATAGGAATTACAGTAGAAATTTTCATTGAGGATTAACTTTTTACTTTTCTAGTTGAAGTGTTGGTTGTTTGATACCTCATGGCTGCAACTTTCTTGTTTGCACTTTGCTTTTAATCTTCGCCAAGTGAGAACATCTTTGGTGATCAGCATTTAGCTAATTTCCTCCTCACCTTTTTCTTTGTTGATAAGAGATTCTTGTCTCTTGTTTTTGGCTAGGTCTATATTGTTTGTAACAGCTTTCTTCCGAGAAGATATTTACATTTATTATAAGGTCTATATTGTTTTTTTTCTTTCAGGCCTTATATACATCCATGGATAAATACCTTCATGGTTTGTGAGCCCTTGCTTTATTGTATTGATAATATAATATTTTCCATGAAATACCCCACTGTAAATATTTCCTAATTTTCCTTATAATTTATTATTGAAGCCTATAAAAGCTTGACATGAATTACTTATCATTTCTGATTTTCATTTGAACACTTATTTTGAATGCAGTGTTAGAATCAGAAATGTTTTGTCATCTAGTCTTCTATATTAATGGTTCTTTTTTTTTTCCTATAATGAGCCTTTTTGCGGTGTTTGTATCAAAAAACGCCACTATAGATATGATCTTTTGCGGAGTTTGTTTCAAAAAATACCGCTATAGATCTGACATTTTGCGTTGTTTGTTCCAAAAATGCCGCTATAAATCTGACCTTTTGCGATATTTATTCCAAAAACGTCGTTATAGATATTGACTTTTTACGGCGTTTATTCCAAAAACGCCACTATAGATATCGATCTTTTGCGGCGTTTGTTCCAAAAACGCCGCTATGATCTTGACCTATTGTGGCGTTTTTTGTTCTCAAACGCCGCTAACTTTAGCGGCATTGGTATGATCGGCGCTTCTTGTGGTGTTTTTAGCGGCGCTTAAAAACGCCGCTATAGGACTAAAAAACCGCTGCTAAAAGTATGTTTTGTTGTAGTGATTTTGACAGAAACTGACATCGATTTGAACTAAAATTAACCCAACCTGAACTCAAATTGAATATGATGTCAAATCAATTTGAAAATAACCCGAACTGATTTGACTTGAATCTGACCTAATCCGAGTCAAACCATTAAATTGACCTAACTCAACCTATATCCGATTTGACCTGACTTGACAAAATCTGACTGAAACTTGAACGATTACTTGATTTTACAACCTTAGGTGGGGATTTTATTTTCCTACTTTTCTTTCATAAATTTTGTAATTAAATTAAGTAATATATTACTTTTGTATACAAAACTTTGGATAATTTATATCGTTAATTATTAAACTTGTGTATGTTTTTCATTATTAAAGTTTAAAATTATTTTAATTGTAGTTTTGAATTTTAGCGTGAGATTCAATTAGAATACTATTTTATTAAATCGTTAATCGTGAAATAATTTAATTGAAGAAAAGTTTAATTTGCATATCGAAATGACCATCCAGATCAATTGGTAGAGCACAAGGTTCTTAACCTTGAGGTTGTAGGATAGAGTCCCATGGAGGGCATTTTATAATTTGGAGGTCTCCTACGGAAACTACTCTTAACCTAGTGTTGGGGGTAGCCTATTATCTTACCTCCCCTTTATCCCATTACATATGGGAACAAGGGACATCCATTTTTTTTTAATTTGCATATCGATTTTTACTATAGAACCTTAAAACGTTTCAATTTTAGATACTGAATTATATTTAACGTGTTAATTTGGTCATGTAAAAATTTGTTAACTTTTTCGGTTGTTGTTATCGGTTAAGGTTAATCATTAATTGACATTATTTAAATAATTTAATTAAAAAACAATTAACTAATTAAAATTCTCTTACAACTCTTGTATTTGGTGGCATTAGGCCCTATAGACTTTAGTTGTATTAATCTTCGGATTTATATAGATTCAACCGTTAACGAACGATTAATTTGGTGTACCCCTTTGTCTAATTATCATTTTAATAAGTGATTTTTTATATATAATCATTCGTGTTTTATCTATTGATTGATTAAATTGGATCGAGTATTACATATGTTCATTATGTGTTAATCATCCTAACTCAATTTAGTATATCTAAACGTTAATATTTGAATTCAGGACTTTCTTAGATAATTTAGTGTATTATCCTACTAAATCAATTCGTTATAAGTTAATAAGTGATTTTTTTAAAGATATCCATTTGTTTTAAAAATATATATTTATTTTATTTTTAAATACCACCCATGTGGGAGTAAGTGAAATGGAAGACTTTTCTCCACTTCCAATCAGGATCCAATATTCATGTATTTTATCTGCAAATCCATTTGCCTATCCAGGAGTTGTTTTCTATTCCTGTCTTTTTGAACCTGAATCCCCATGAAAATGCTTAGTTTAGTCACCATATTTGGGTTGCTAGGTAATACAAAACAACTGTTTTTGAAAATGAATGAATTATTGGGGATTAAAATGAAAACAAATTAAATAATTCTCTTCTAAAAAGAAGAAACACACACACATGTGGTATGTGTTGTAAATATGTTTTGACCCGTGTTAACATTAGTATTATTATTAACACAATTAGGTTGGGCGATAATGATACTATTTTTTTAAAAAAAATTGATGTTAATTTTTAAGTGTTTAAATATAATCTTTCACATGTACTTATTAAGTGATTAAAAACAAAACTTACATATGTATGTTTTTGTTATCATGATGTTTCTTTGCTTGTGCTAACACTTATTTTTTATATGTATTATCTATGTTTTTTATATAAAATTTCTATACTATATATATATATGCATTCTTCAAACTCTTTCAATATCAAATAGGATAAAACACATATGATTCGTAATTTCCAGAAATCACGAGTGACTATACATTTTTCAAAAGTATATTTTGGCATACACGTATTTACTTATGTGAAATAAAAAAATATTATTTTAATAAATAATAAATTATAAGATATTTAATCTTAAGAGATTATAAATTAACCCAATGAAATATGAGTAAGCCATATCAGGGCCCGTTGAGCTAAAATTGACTATATTTTTAATCCTAAGATCGAAGCTATCCCAAACTCAATACCCTGTGTCCACTCTAACTATTAGATTACAAATTACAGATACTGCTGTCGATTGTTGAAGGAAGCAGTTGCAAAATTTCCCTGCTTGTCTTGTTGTCTTCTTTGTTTTCAACTACATTTTCTATTAAAAAAATAGCTATCCAGACACAGAACTATGGAAACAATATTTTCTTCACCAACTTTTCCCTTATATTTTCTTGCCATTTCACTATCTTTTATCCCAAAAACAATCTGCCGTGAGAACGATAAGCCAACAGCCAATGAAGTTGTGAAAGATTTCAATTTTCCCATTGGTCTTCTCCCAGAAGGTGTTGTTGGCTATAATCTGGACAATTTCATCGGGGAAGTTGTAAGCTTTCTTGAATGATAGTTTGTAGTTTCTCTCTTGAAGGGTCTTACCAGTTGAAATATAAGAATTACCATCAAAGGGTACATATCAAAGGGCAAACTTGCAAGGTGTTAAAGTGAAGGTTTTTTTTCATATGGGCTAATATTGTTGAAATCTTTTAAGGAAAGGAGATGATCTTGAATTCATCTGTAGGGTTTGCTGCTGCTTGTTTTCCCCTTCATAATTTTGAAGAGCGTCCTCAATGTGGGTGTGGATTGAATTGCAATAATGAGTAACTGAAAAAGAGTCTTTCCCCTTTTCCAAAACCGACACCGAAAATTTATTTACAAGAAGAGAGGAAAAGAAAGAAAACCTTACATTACCATCTCTACATAGTTTACAGCTCTTTTGCGCCGTCGAAACCTTATAAGTATGCATTGCATTGCAGAACAAAGCAGCAAACTCTAATTGACATTACATTATAAGCTTAAGCTGTGAAGACGTCGTAGGTAAGCAAACATCGGTTTGACGTAGAATAAAAGATCACCGGAGAGGCTCACATCTCACACGTCATAAGGAGGAGGAGCGCTCCGAGGTCCAACCTCGCTCCCTGCCTTCTCGTATGCATCCGTTGTTGACCTTCTCCGGAACCGAAATGGCTCTCTGCCTCCTACACAATGCGCTGAATATCAATAGGGCAAGGACATTCAAAGGACCAAAAACATTTAACAATTGTACAACAATGACATCTATCATCAAACAAATGAAGCAAAGTTAGTTGACATAAATTTCCTACATAAAATAAAACCTTGGTGTAATGTTTAGTTTTGATTTTTAGCGTCAAAATATGTAGATTGTTGTGACATTATACCCCACAAAATTATAAAAGTTCTTTAACATACTAAACGGACCAAACTGGGGCAGATATACTTCCCATAAAACTTTATTCTTTTGCATGCATTATTGTACGTCAACGAGGGCTTTATTGTCATTTCCAAACACTAGGACAAAATACACGCTAGCATCCACCAAACGTTGAATTTATCTATGTCCGTTTGAGGAAAACATAAAAAGTTATCAAATGACATAACTACCCTCCTAAAGCGCGCTAATAAGATTACACAAATTAAGTTGCCCGATTTACCCTTCGAATCCTCGATATTCTACTTTCCCAGGGAGCACAAATCTGGGGTTTACGAAACAAATCAGGGACAAATTCGACAATCACAGAGGAAAAGTTTTTGTATACATATATATTACCAGAAAAAGGAGATACCGGAGGAGTCGATTCGGCCGGCGAAACCGGAGGTGATCCGCTCTGGTAACGCGGCGATTTTACGATCATGATCGTACGTGTCACTTTCGTCGTTTCCTCCGACGTCGTTTCATCACTGAACGATCTCATACTCCCGCCATCGGGTTCTGATCATTTACATCGTCGAACCAAATTAAAGAAAATAACACAAGTTAAAAGATAATAAAAATCTCAAACTACTGACTGAAAAATAATAAAGTTCGAGTTTCGTAACGATTTTTCTTTATTGGTAGCTGCTCGACAGTTCAATTCAACGCTTTTCAATCACTTTTGGTGACGATTTTCATTGCTTTTACTGATATATATATATATATTGCCATTCCGATGATTGGCTAAAGTGGAGTGGCCTAACTAAGCGTACCCTTGGAGGAGTTAGGCCGGAGAGGGAAAGAGGAGTGCTTTCGGAGCTTGCCGAGACCGTTTTCCGGTCGGGGACCCGCAACCGTGTCGTCCCACAACTGGTCAAGTAGCCCCATAGATCAGAAGATGGACAGGAGGTCGGGTTTCTTAAGATCTTTTGTTGTTTAAAATGGAACTTGATAGTCGGAATGGTAAGGAGACTCAATGGGAGATATTTAACGACGAAATGAGGGGAGTTAAAAGTCGAACAAGTTAGGATAAACATAGACCGTTGATCTGGATCTGAGAAAAAGTGATGACGTGGCAAATGAAAGGAAGGCACGTGGTTGCAGATAAGATCGGGTGGGAGTCCAACAAATGGATCTCTGTTTAGTTCATTTTGTTTAGAAATATGATAAAGTTAATAAGAGCCCAATTAATTATGTTTAAATTATTGTTTTATTTATTGAAATTTTAAGATTTTAAAATAATAATTCTTAAATTTTATTAAATTATTTTAAAATAATCATTAAATTTATTAAATTTTACACTCAATTATAATACTATAATAACTATTTTAAAGTAATTTGATAAATTTAATAATTATTTTATAATTTTTAAAATCACATTTAAAAAATAATTATTTAAATATAATTTAATGATCTCTAAAAATATTTTATGCCAAGAAATATGGAAAAGTGTAAAAATATTATCAGAATAATATTTAATATCTTTAATTAAATTTTAACCGGAGAGTATGACTATTATTAATGGCAGTATTCACCCCATAATTATAAAAAAATCGTTAAATATAATATCTTTAATTATTAAATATTACACTGATTATGTAACAGATTACATCTCGCAAATTTCTCTTAAAAATAATCTCTTAGTAATTACGTTATAGTCAAACAATAATGGTTTTTTAATAAAACCTAACGAGATATCAATAAATTTTATTGACGAAAATTAAAGAAATCATTTATTTTAAGTTTTGATTTATCTTTATCCACTTATTTTAGAGTAGGCCACATCAGTGTCACGTGACTAGGTCATCCTTTATCAAGTTCAAAGCCAAAAAATCCAAAATACCCTCATCTTTATCCATTCGGATTACTGTTGGAAGAAATTAGGAGAAAATAGCTTAGGGTTAGGTCATTAGCCGCCTTTGCACTTTCGAGGCAATACTATAAATAATATTGGTAATTATTAACCCCTCTTATATCATTATTTATGTTTTTGCTTAAGTAGTAAGGTGTTTAACGATGAATAAATTATGCTAGTTCAATATGATTTTAAAAACTTAATTTTAATCCATTTATTCCACTTGTCTTTGTCCAAAAGATACAAGTCAAATTCTTTTCCTAACCACAAACACCCAAAAGCTTTACTCAAAAACATGTCTTCCTTCAAATTCAATTCAAATGGTTTTACATTACTTGTTAAAATCACATTTTGGTTTCATTAAACTGCAATAATTTTCATTCACCAACACATGAATGATCAATCACATAAGATGGTGATGATTTACCAAGTGGCTAAAAGTTCACTCAATCAATTTGATGATCAATGTTCAATACAAATTGGAATTAGTCATCCTTCAATCGATGGAAAAACACTTGGTTTTCCATATATTGCTCGGATAAAAACTTAATCTCAATCCATTTGCAAGCCTCACATGCATGCTTTATGTATATAAGGTAAATAGCTGAAAAGAATGTGATGAGAAATGAGGCAAAATTAATCAAGAGTCATCTAATCTTTATGCGAGTATGGAAGATATTTCCCGTATGGATCGGCTTTTGGCCTGTTCCTGTGATCATAGTATTCAACTACCGCAGCACCAGCTAATGCAGCCAATGTAAGGGCCTGTGCATGCAACCTGAACGGGAAGGCATATGGCAATGAGTTACCGATGAGGCACGGTGAGTAAAGAAAGGTGTAGACATCAAAAGCTATCAGAAGCTGAGGAAGACAAAAAGAAAGTCCAGCTCGAACAAAAAGGATTATACAAATATTAAGTATTGTGATACACACAAATCAAATAAGCCCCTAAAAGAAGTCGTCATAATATGCAACATGATGATGCAAAAGAAGAGTAGAGCATTGTTTAAAGAGGAATCGATATTTCGTGTATAAAATGGCAGCACTACTAAGTCTGTAAACCCTTCGACCATTATTGTCCTCTATTAGGCTAAGATAAACATTGATTTCTGCAATAAATACAAAACAAATGTGCCCCTAAAAAAGCTACTTAAAGATCAGACGTCACGTTACTTCCGCTATTAGCACGTACGGACCAAACTGAACTCACATCGCATCAAGGCTAAGAGGGGATAGACAATTCCTTGGGTGACCAGGGGGCTCCCGATAAGATAAGCAACATGAAAATGGAAAAGAAGAGCAAAGCACGGTTTAAAGAGGTAACAATTTTGCACAAGTTAAGGACATAACTACTATTTTGTAAACCCTTGAAAACCCCCTAGGGCCTCCCCCCATTTTTTACATCTTTTAGGCGTAAAAGACTATGCATGTAACCTCAAAGCAAACTTGCAGAATAAAACAGAAACTATCACACAAAGCTCAAGCAAAATAACATGCCGCATTAATTTTTTAGTTGCATGTGTAAAAACACAGAACTTCTACTTTGTAAATTTTTGAAGAATAAGCATGTACCCTTCAAGCAAATTTGAAGAATAAAACAGATGAAATGGCAAAAAGTTGAAGCTAAACACGTCACGGTAGTTTCAGCATAACTAAGAAAAGTACACTCATAAAAAACCAAGGAAAATCATTCCAATCGTTCAAATTCATTTATTGTACGTAAAAAATGGATTCCTGATAGTCCTTACAGTTCAATTAATCAAATATGCTGCAACAATCCTAACCAGATTACCATAGCTCTAATAAAAATGTTGGGAGACATTTTTTAGGCTTCCATAGTTTTTCGAAGGAGTGAGAGAAGCTCCTGCTTCTCTCTAGTTTTTTAGGCGTTTTTTTACAGCTCTTTCTTTGATCCCTCTTTTTGTCTTATGATGGCAAGTAAGGTGACTAGTTCTGCTGGGAAAAATTTTTTTACGGTGATCATTTTCAACATTCCAGAGCGTCTTCATCATAAAGGGCTTTGGTTGTTATTCGATAAACATGGAGAGGTGGTCGATTCTTTCATCCCTAACAAAAGAAGCAAGGGAGGAAGTAGGTTTGGCTTTGTTCGTTTCACCAGATTGGAGGACGCAAGGAAGGCTATCAACTGTGTTGACAGATCTAGGATTCGCGGTAATGAAGTTAGAGTTTCTTTGGCCAGATTTCAACCCCGGGAAGCTTTTTGGAGAAAGAAGTTTTCGGGTTTAAAACCAGCCGAGATCAAAAGTAAAAGGGAGGATGTTGGGCATTTAGAGGCTCCCATTGTGGGTTCTGTTGACGAGGACAAACTGCTAACTTGCAGAGGCAGCTTGGTAGGGTGGTGCAGAAATTTTTTAAAGATGAATGAGTTGGCTACCATAATGCATAAGGAAGGCATTTTAGGCCCGAAAATCATGAGGCTAAGCGGGTTAGCAGTTCTAATCATTTTTGAAGATGATGAGAGTAGGGATTTCACGCTGAATAATCAGATGGGGGCATTGAATAAATGTTTTGGCAAAGTAGAAGTGTGGTCGGAAAACTTTCATTGCAGCATCCGTCGGGCGTGGCTTTCGTGCAAAGGGATCCCACCGTTTTTGTGGAATCCCTCCACCTTCAGAAGCATTGCAGACAAATGGGGAGAACTTATCTCCATTGACGAAGGATCTGTGAATCCAGGTTCTTTTGAAAGGGCTTTGTTTCAAATTATTACAAACCGTCAAACACGTGTGGAAGAATCCGTTGTTTTGAAAGCCGTGGACTTGTTATTTACAGTTTGTTTTTCTGAGTTTGAGCCTTGTTTCAGTCCCGATTCAGTCTGGGCAGACTCGTTCTTGATGGATGAGGCAGTTGCCTCCCCGTTATCTTTGGTGGGGTGTTGTATGGGGGAAAGAGTTAGTGGCTGCTTCTCGTCGGGTGGGGAAGTAGTGGAAAGGAACATAGGGGAGGATTTTATTATGGGCTTAAGGAATTATGCTGCTGGTTTGGGGATTATTCCATCGGAATTCGAGGATGTGGTGGAGCACGAGAATGTGCTGGATCAAGGGGCTAGAGAGTCAGTTTTTGAAAGCAGCGAAAGTTGTATGTCTGCACGTGATAGAGAGAGAATATTGGATTTTTTTGATTCATCCAACTTGGATGGTCGGTTAAAGGCAAAGGTGATGAAGAACGTGATTAACATTATCAAGAGGCGTGCTATTAGTAGTTCCAAGGGTGTGGAGGCCCACCAGGATGGGGATGCCCAACAGGTTGGGGCGGTGGTTGACAGGCTGGATGGAAGAGATATATCGGGGTTAGCAGAGAAAGTTTTGGGTCCCCAATTAATGGCCTGATACAGCCAAATCAAGCAGCAGTAGAAGGTTCAATGTGTGGGAGATTTGTCTGTTCTGGGAGCCAGATTATGATTCCATTTTTCCAGCTTTGGAGCCAGAGTCTATAGTTTGGTTTTCTTCCCTCTTCGTGTGGATATAAGCTCCTGGATGTCTGTGTTTTATTTTGGATACTATGGTTTGAGTCAGCTGTCATTTTTTTGTCTCTTTTTTAGGTGTCTGTTTTCTGGTGCTCTCCGAGTCAAGAGTTAGACTTTTAGTTGGGTCAGTCCTTTAGAGGTTGTTGTGGTTGATATTAGGTTGAGCTACTGTTGCTGCTATGGGGGTGTTTTTTGGTTGTTTTATGGTGTTTTGTTTATGTATGGGGTCGATATCTGGATGTATTTTGGTGTCCTTATGTTCAATGAAATCTTAAGGCACTCTTTTCCTTCTTCCGCTGATTAAGGAGCTTCTCTTTAAGTTTCTCTAATCAAGAAGGAGGTTTTTAATGAGGCCTTCAATTCCTATAAAAAAAAAATGTTGGGAGACCCTAAAAAGTTCCCAAAACTCATTTTTGGTAAGTAATAAACCAAGATGTAGGAAGAAATGGCGAAGGGGGATTTAACAAATGCGAGAACCGGGGATCGAGCCCCATCCTTTCTGGAATCCAGCTCTTAAAGTAGGTGGATGAACCATTTTGGGATACTACTTTCCTCCTAACAAATTCATGTCTTGAAACCAGGATGGAACAAAAATCTAGTTCAGGCACCGAACGTAGCACTATCTGCATCACCTAGCACAGGTGGTTGATATATATATATATATGGCCGTGTAATCGAACCCAACAGCTAGAAAAACTAGTAATCAAGCCATTTATGACCAACACCAAGAGGAATAGAGACAGGGATGGACCAAAGGGGTGTTGGGATGCTACCACACCCCTACAAATTTCAAATTCTCTTATATTTTAGGTGTTTTTTTATATTTTTTATTGATTATCTAATTTCACCCCTAGCATTCTAATTTAACTTCTTAAGTTTGCACTCCTAGCATAAATTCCTAGCATAAATTCCTACATCGGTTATGAAGACAGAAGGCAAAATTTCTATCCCTCCTTTCAAGCTTCCAGAGGAAAATTATCATTCATTCGTAATACCTTTTTGCATGAATCGAACGAAATATATACGAATTCCAATAACCAAACAAAAACAAAATTAAATGGAAAACTGATAAAAGGATTTACCTAGCATGAATGATCTTGACGCTGGTTTTCATGTTAGGTCGAGACCAATTGTAAGCAATGGAACTCCCAATTCCGCTAAGCCACAAACAACCTCTCGTTTGAAAACAAACCATAAATAAAAAAAATTAAGCAAAAGAAACTCAAAAAAAATTCCAGTGAAAAAAGTGAAATAGAAAAAGAAAATAATTACCAACAGTTCTAAGCTTGTGATCAACAACCCATCCCCTTATGGATTCAAACTTGGTCTTTGATTCCGCCATTATTGTGTATAACTGAAAATATAAGCCTTTCCGAGAGAAACAGAAATAAAAGAGGGAAGCAAATTAGAAATATATTCTTGTACAATGAGAAAGGCAAAGCAAAATTGGCGACGGAGAGAAGTAAAAATGTGAGCCGTCGAAAATCTAGGAAGACAAAGTTGACTACTTTTCCTACGATATTGGACTGTACCACGTGATTTGTAAACTTTTCTTTTCGTCTGTTTTTTCTAATTTTCTAATAGGCTTAATTCAAATATTAAATTAAAATAAAGTAATAATAATAGATAAAATCCCTTCAAACTATTATAAAAAAATCTGATTTTATCATTCAACTTTTAAATTTTGTTTTCTAGGTCATCCAGTCATTATTTGTGTAGATCCCAATAAGGCCGGTTGGTTATGCTTTCATTGAGGTGAATTTTCGTATTTCATTTTTATGAGGCAAAGAAAGAAGAAATCAAGTTTCGGGTTATAGGCTTTGACTGTCGAGGTTTACCTTCTTCAGCCTCATGGCAAGACCTACAGGTGAGTTGTTTAACTATTCTTGCTTCTTCAGTTGGTTCAGTTAGTCAAATTATATAACAAGTGCATAAATAATAATATGACGAATGATAATATTTTAGTAGAATTCTTGAATTAAACTCCATCTGTGGTTTACAAAATGCATACAAGCATGTTTGTCATTTTATCATGTAAAATGGTTTTCCAAACGTTGAATATGTGAATTGAACATTAATATTCAAACCGTATGCAAGTCATAATGCAATAGCTGAATCCAATTATACTATCCAACATTCGGTTTTTTATTTTCAAATAATTGATAAGCCTCAAAACCAAAGCATAGGAGAGGAAGCCAAGTGCAGCACAAACACCATGCGGCTACCAAAATGATTGTTTTCGGAGCCACATCATAGTTTTCACCCATATATCCGTCTCTCAAACCATACATAAACATTTCGGTTTCATTCACAGTAGGGTAGTTTTTGCTTCACCCAATAAGGGTGTAAATGAGGAAAGATAAACTACGAAAGTTTTTTTTTTTCATTGCGTCCTCTCGGATCCGTGCCTCTGGCGGAAGCTGCTGGATCTTACACCGGGATCTGATGCACCGGCAGCAGATTGATGGAATGTGCTCCAACCGGATTCTCTGTCAACCTGGTTTAGTGAAAATGGAGGAAAGTGATCTCTTTCCCATGCATGGAACCGAGTTGGAGGATTTTCTGCTTCCTGAAAGTTACGGCCGGATGTGCCAGATGGAATGAAATAGAAGCCACCCACCTGGTCAGATGATGAGGCTGCTGGTCCAGCTTGGACATGACTTCTGTGATTGCTTGATCTTCGGGAGCCGGAAATAATGGGTGTCCGTATGCCTGGCGAAGTGCTAGGATGTTGTTGTTGATAATATGCCTGGAGAGCTTGAACTCTATCATGGGCCCGAGCATTGCTACCAGGGTAAGGAGGGATCAACGAGGGAGCAACCGAACTCCCTGCTCTTGCACCAGAACTGCAAAACACATCACTTGAATTGAAACAATTGGCAGATAAAACACCATCAATACAATGATATTTATATAACAAAGAATGGCCACATGTAACAAAATGTTCTCTTTCCTGAATGACAATTTAACTCTGAAAATGAAACAGCGGCCTAAAAATAACTTTATGTTTTGTCGGTGTGTATCATTACGGCACTTTTTAGGGGAGTTATTATTTCAAGGGAAGAGATTGTAGCCGTTTTCTTGGAAATGGTTGCGGAACAAAATGGTAAAGCTTCTACATATTTTCTATTTTCCATAAAGTAGAAAAACTCAATCGCATCCCAAATGTCAATTGTATTGAGGAATACCTGTGGCCGACAACAAATGGATGCATAAAAGATCCTGGTCTTGGCATATCGGAACTACTCCTGGTGGACCTTTGACTGATGGGCGGATTTGAAGGTAGATCAGAACTACCAACTCGACTGCTTGATGTGGAGAATGGAGGGGGATGATGCTCCCAACTGTGATAATGGAGATCCATGGCAGGAAAAGCATAAGACGTAGGCATCTCACTAGGCACTGATGGACCATTCCAGTGAGTGAAAGTAGGACTGTCTGAAATACTTCCACTGGAATTTGAGGATGAGGGATGAATAGTTGGCCCGAAGTAAGCTACATATGGACATGGATGACCAGCAGATGCTGAATGCTCGGCAAAGATGGCTTGCTGTCCCAGTAACTCGTGATCTGCATCCAGCATAACTTATAATCAGTATATTAGGCCAGAAAACCTTCACAAACTTGAAAAAACAAGGAAAAAACTTACATGAGGTTGATGAAAACTCTCCTACCCTAGGAGCAACAAAAAGAGGACTTGTTAAGGGAAGAACATAATTGAAACTAGAACAAGGCAAGAAGAACCGGGCAAGCAATACAGTAATAATTTGTGTAAAGAAATAAAAGGGAACGTTATACTAAAACAGCTTTTTTCAACTTAGAATAATAAGGATATTGTAACTTCCAACGGAATAAACAATGCAGTTATGCCATTATATTCTATACTCCTTTAATTTAAGCTCATGAAATACTTCCAGCCTAAAGATGACTCTGGTGAATAAACCCCTTAAAACATTGGTAAGTAATGTGGTGCATCTCATGTGGAAAGAATTTGCATTCGACAAAGAACCATGAAGATAAGTTTTTGCAGTTGGGTCGCATGACATTATTTTCTGACTTTAGATTGTTAAAACTGCTTCAGTTACATTCAAGCTGGTGTTACGTTTATTTTAGTAAGGTGAAAGACAGATCACAGATCGGCTACTTGTTTTAATTCCAATTCCATTTTGCCACCACAAATAATAAGCAGAGGATGAATATTCTCCAATTTGTAAATCAATATTAACTAAAAAGATACCAACTTTCCACCATACTCTCTCTCGCTCTCGCGGTTATTATCACAAAGATTCCATGCAAAAAATAAAAGATGGAAGATATTGATGTTAAAGAAGAGACAAAGGAAGGACACATTTCAGCACAGAAAATTTGAAGCAGCAAATTAATCACACTTACTCGAATGAAGGAAGTTGTGCTAAGCTTCCAAACGGACACCAGTGAACTCCAAACGACTACAAAAACAAAATAAAAAAGAAAAGCAAAATAAGTAAGCAGAAAATTAGATTTCAAATGGACTCATCGGTAAGTCTAAAATGAATGCACACTAAGAGCCAAAGAGGGCCCAAAGCAAATACTAACTTGGAGACAGGATTGTGTAGGTTTGCAAAACCATACATGGAAAGAGCAGCGCAACTTAAACCCTAATCTGTCAAATTCTCATTGGGGCATAAATTGTTGAACTTAAGAAACCCACAGAATCGACTGGCTCAACTTTAGCAAAAGAGATATGGTTCATTAACTATGAGCATCAAAACTCAAGTTTCACTCAATAGATAACCAATAAAATTGATGGTCCTTTAAATTGACATGGCGTGGGTGGAGGGTAAGGGATGAGTGATGAGATGGTTAAACCTACCAAGATGCAGAAAAGAAAAGAAATTCCAAATAAGGCGACATAAAACATTACCATTTCAGAGTAGCTTAGATCATAAAGGTCTTCATCATGTGTCAAATCATCCACAATAAATTCCGGATATGAACGGTTACCATTGGCATAAAGCCATTGACCTTTTTCGATTTTCCTACAATTAGGGCATTGCATTGCACCCTTTATGTTGAATGCTGAACCAATGCAATCTGGTCACAATCATTGCAAACAGTAATAATTTATTAGAACCTTTAAAACAGACTTAAAACGATCATTTTCTCACACTGTCTACTACTGACCACATCAACAAAAATAACATACAATATACTCTCAAATCCTTCAAATTCCGCAAATGTCTATGCCAGTAGTCATTTCCCTCATGCTGCAGCGCATCGAAATATTATAATATAACTGAGCAAATCCGAAGATCACATAAACTTTTGCTTCCAACCTGATTCTCAGACAAATAGTCTCTAAAAAAGGCAAAAACTAATTGCATTGAAAACTTCACTCCGATCATCTAATTAGATAGCAATTGACAGGAAAAACAGAAGGAGCAATTTATTGAAACATCAAAGCTGCATTAGATTGATTCTGGTTTAACTTATTCTTCAAGAAGCTAAATTTCATTTTCATTTTCACCGCCAGCTAATAAAATATCATAAGCAATAAAAAAGCTTAATCTTTATGATTTCCTCATTTGCATCATCAATCAAAACCAGAACTAAACACACCCTATAAATCAAATGAGCAAACTTGGAGCTCAGATCTTCCCATCCCAGTTTTTCTTTTAATGAAAATTCCTTGATAAAATCAGTTCCAAATCACGACAATTTTGACTTACCCAAATGAAATTGATGCCCACATTGAAGCTTAGCCCACGATCGATCTCCATTATCAGTCACCATTTCAAGGCAAATCGAGCATAAAACCGAACCGAAAGACTTCCCTCCATTTTCGCAATCAACACCATCGCTCCCATCAGCAGCACCACCACCACCACCTCCATCACCGTCGTCCACCACCCCACCTTTACTCCCTAATCCCATAATTAAAACAACTATAAACTTAAATTTAAAATTAACCCAACCCCGATATCTCAAAATCTAAATTCCTAAAATTCAAAAGAAAAAATTACACCGTTCAAATCAACCTCCTCCTCTTCCTCCCTTATAACGTACTCGACCTCAGATGCCAATCAGATACAATTGCAAAAAAAAAAAAAATACTTGTCGTCTTAAATTCGTTTCTGATTGACTAAACAGAAACGCAAAAATCAGATTTTTCAAAGAAATTTAGAAATGAAAATGAACTGGAAAACGAAAAATTTTCTTTTTATCTTTTGGATTTTTTTTTTGGGTAGGATTTTTTTCTAATGTTTTATATTCTGTCTTTTCTCTTTCAATTCATTTTTTTATCTGTGGGTGTGGATAGGATTTACAAAATAACTGCTGTCTGAACAGAAATCATCGAATGGCTTAGATTCTTTTTCAACGTTGTTTTCAACGGGTTGGATTGCTTTTCATTGACGTTGTTTTCATTGACATTAGTTACTGTAAATTTAATCTTATTTTATAATATTGTTATCGGTGGGCGAAATTGGGTTACCAAAGTTAGAATCAACTAATTTAAATTTAGTTGTATTTTATCAATAACTTTTATTATTTTATTTAAAAAATTTGGTGTTGCGTTTTTATACCGTAACAAAAAAATATGTAAGAATCCTAAAACGTATTATATGATTGTAGAACGACACTTCCTTTAATCACTTTTTTTTCAATATCTTTATTATTTTGTGTGATTTAATCATATGCTTTGTACAAAACACTGAAAACAGGAAGATATTCCTTCTTGTTTAAATTTTATTTTGTGTGGGAGAATTATATATCTCCATTACTTACATATCCAAAAGTAATTTAAATATAAATATTATTTGTATTTACATTTGTGGGGGCTCATATTTGATATTTTTATAAAATTTGGTTCCAACATTATTTCTCTATTTAAAAATATTGATCTATTTCTTAGTATATATAAAAGAAAAGCTGGATATGAATTGGAAAATATGCAACAAAACCTAACTGGCCATATGAGGGGAATATCCATAAACAATACAAAGTGAGAATGCTTCAAAATTAAAACTTTTAAAAAAAAATAGTCTCCATGTGGTGGCTAAAGGAAGCCAGCCATGTCCATGCCTTGCTTGCACGGCTTCCATGGGATCTGTCGGATTCCTCATCCATTATTGAACGCCATTCAAATTTCAACCCCAACATTGTAGAATCAGAAGCACATCGACCCTCATATTTTCTAAAGTCCATTGTTCGATCCTCAACGAGTATAATTTATTCGTCTCAGTTTTATACCAATAAGATAATGAGGTATATTGTCATCTGAATAGAAGGTGTTTTATTAAAAGATGACATGTGGACATACGCAAATAAAATTGAATTAAAAATTTAATGACTCCAATGTAAGTTTAAAAGTTTAGTGATCAAATTGCAAACACTTTAAAAGTTAGTGACTCTCAGCATAGTTTTCGCTTACATTAAATATGCAGTAAAATGCAAATTATCATTTGCCAACAAATAATCATTAATTCTATAATTTATTTCATGTTTGCTCGGTTGCTAAATATACAATTATGTAAAAGGATTTAATTCGCGTTTAATATAAAAATACAATTTGTAACTATAAAATTGAGTCGAATGTTAGATATTGCTATATTGGTAATAAAATTTTAAGATATTTAATTTAAATTAATTAATCAATAAATTATATATAAATTATTAAGAATGAAATAAAAGACGTCGAAGAAGATATTAACTAAACAAATAAAAGAAGAGAAAATAGTTTGAACTTAGATATGGGGGGCCCAGTCGAAGACAAGAGATGTCGGAATTTACGGCAAAAATAAAGCTGAAACTCTGTAAAAAGTTTATTTCGTCTCTAGAACAACTGCGGTTTCAAAGCCAAAGTAAAAAAGATATATGAACTCACATTTTAAGTGTTTCTTAAGTAAATAAGATATTATTTTATTGATTTTTTTATAATTAAAAATTAAAAATAATCATACAAATATTCATTAGGTTTTAAATTTATTATTTTTTATTAAAAAATTACCGACAGTTTGATCTGAAAGTTAACTTACTAATTGTAATATGATAAAAAATTATAATTAAATATAAAGGTTTTCACCATAATCAGTAATAAAATATATCAAATTTTAAAATCTTATAAATATATATAGTTATGCAAACATATTAACTCTAATTAAAAAAAATTATATCATACCATAGAAGAAACTTTTGCATTCCAATAAAATCAATGATGGACTTTGGTCTCGGGCCTACTAATTCAATAGTTTTACATTCACAATAAATTCATATTTTTTCTCGTAATTTATTTTCCACTAAAAAAAACTGCACCATAAGACACTTTAAATCAGACCAAAATTTAAATTATAAATTATAAAAAAGTATTTTTTTTATTGTACATACATTATATTATAATAAAATCAATTATATTTTATCAAACAGATTACACAAAAATTAAAACATTTGAAAATGAAAAGCAATTCTTTTGATAATAGTACAATAATATATCTTCTGAATATATATATACTAAAATTAATATAATCATATAGAATGCATTTTAATATTTAAATTAATTAAAATATTTATTTTTTGAATTCATTCTTAATTTAAATTATAAAAATTAAGCTAAATATAAAAATTTAGATTTAATTTTAAATGAAAAGGGCATGATTTGGGTTTGGACTTTCGGCCTTGCAAACAGTGGGTTCATATTGGGCTTAGTGGACCGAGCAGTATTTCAAGAACAAAACAGGCTCAGATTCGGAGTAAACACATAGATTTCTACTCACCAGTGGGCTAAATATGAAAATAAATTAGGGTTTTTTTTTTCTTCGCATATAAATTCAGCAAACAAATAGCTCTAAACCTCTTTTGCAGCAGCCTCTCTTTCTCATCTTGTACGCCTCCCTGCCTATCTGGATTTAACTTTCATGTTTTACAGTTCTAAATGTTGTTGTTCTCTGCTATTCTGATAAGCATGCATTTTCTATTTTCTCTTAAAATGTTAATACAAACATGATCGTAAACTTTTTCTTAAATAGCAATTGTTAAGCTTGGATTTAGGGTTCTCTCTAGAAATGTTTGTTACTCTTTCTGTTTTTCGAATTAGTAATTTATTTATTGGGTTTTGAAATGAAGTTGCTTTTTCTTTATTTTTCCTGTGCGTGTTATTTTTCGTTGATGAATATAAACTGGTGTTGAAATAGGTGATTTGAGTGTTTCGGGATTCTTGTTGGTTTAAGCAATTTGCAAAGATGCAGAATGAAGAGGGTCAAAACATGGATCTTTACATCCCCAGAAAATGGTGTTGATCCTGACGGTCACCTCTGTTTCATTTACATTGATTGTGTTGGAAGCTTATATGTATGTATGTTGTTGTTGCAGTTCGGCCACTAATAGGCTGATCACCTCGAAGGATCATGCCTCTGTTCAGATTAATGTTGGACACTTGGATGAGCTTGGCAGATACACCGGAACATTCTCCACTTTTGCACTTTGTGGCTTTGTTCGTGCCCAGGTCCGTGTTCGGTGTCTTTACTAGCCGATTAGTTGTTTTGGGCCGTTGCTTGGTCCGCATGTTTTATGCTTTTAAGTCGCGAATCTCAATTATTATTTTTTGCCATGTTTTATTGTTGGTATATGTGATGTTTTGGAAGTTCTTCGATATATTTACAAGATCATATGATGAAGTTGAGTTGTCTTAAGTATTAGTTTGTTCATGTTTGCAGGGTGATGCTGACAGTGCACTTGATAGGCTTTGGCAGAAGAAGAAAGCCGAAGTCCGTCAGCAGTAGTGGAACATGGGAGGGGAAAATGTTTTTGTCAATGACTATTAAATTCTAGTTTGTTTCTTTTAAGGATTATGTTGAACTTGGTTTGTGGATTTGTCAATGTTTACTACTTGGTTTAATTGCATTGAACCTAATACATCGTTGCCTTTCTGTTTCCTTGATATGCGTTTCGGCTTTGCATTACACAAGATTAAATCTTATACTCGGAGTTGGTGATAGTCGTGACATGATCTAAATGTCAAGGTTTGATGTTAGTATATGAAATCAGTGTAAAACAAGGATTAGTTCGTTTTGGTTTGCTTTCGGGAATTTTTAGAGTTACCCATGTTGATTTTCAGGTTTTGATAGGTGGGAAAGGGGATGGAACTAGTTGTATCATTTTGGGGGTTTAATGGGCGCGAAGCTGTGTTAAAATTATGCTTCAAAGGGTTTCTATGTTTAAAGGTTGACGAGTGAAATGGAATCATGCTTTCCAAGAGCTATAATGTTTCATGAAAACATTCCTTTTCTTTGAAAGGGTTCTCAAGACTAGTTTCATTTACCCATAAAAATGATTAAATGTCAAATTGGTAATCATTGTTTTTGATTATTTATTTAATTTGATATCTTTTATTTGTTATGAAGGTGAAGATGTGTTTTTAAAAACATATCAACCATATTTGAATGTGTGTATTTTTATTTATGTAATATTGGAAGATTAAAATAAAAAGAAAAATGTGTTTAGAGAAAAATTATAGGACCAAAGTCTTTAAAAAAAACAATGATGTATGTGTTGAAGAGATATGTTAGAACGAACATTGTCAGACGATACTTGCACGTTTAAAATTTTTATCTTCAACGAATTAATAAGGACTATTTTTAATATACTCCTCCAAAATTTGATTAAAGATAAACATATGTTAGTTGTTTGATCTAATTTGTGTATGTACTAATATTAACACGTATTTTTAACAATTATTACTCTTGTTTTTTCTTATCTTCGACAAAAATCATATATATATATTTCATTTTTACTTTCAATATTTGACAATTAAGTTTGATTGCAGTTTATTTAAAATTCACGAAAGAAATATTTTGTCAACAGCATCTTTCACATCATCTAATAAAATCTGTCATTTACTAATTGAACATATTAGGCAAGATAAAAGCACTGCTCCTGATAAATTCGAGCAAATTAGCCTCAAATCCATCAGAAACAGTCGCGGTTTAACAGTTGAAACTTATATTTTCACCCATCAAGTTACGTACTCTTATTGTACCCAAAAAATAGGTTAAATAAACTTGGGATCCACAGCCGTATGTAACCATAGAAATCGAAACAATTATCTATCATGCCTTGAGAAGATTACTAGTGGGACAGTTAAACTCAACTTTGTTTATACTCATAAACAGCTAGCTGATGTACTCGTCAAAACACTTCCAAGAACAACCTTTGATGAACTTACTCCAAGCCGGGACTCTACAATGTATACTCACCAACTTGAGGGGGAGTGTAGATTATAGATGACGTGCGTGTTTGTTAGTTAGCTAGTAATTTTAAATCTTAGTACGAGTCTTATCTACCAAAAGGATAAGATGCTATCTTATCTCTAAACTAGTTTTAAAAGAATTTTACTTTAATTAGGATTGTAACTCTAGTTCTATAAATTAGGAAAATCTCTTCTTTTGCATTCAAGTGAAATAAAATCAGAGAGAACTCTTCTGTAAAACTCACAATAACTGTAAACTATAGTAGCTCTAAACTAAGCATATAATGGGAAAATCATCCAAGGAACAATTTAAAATAGTAATCTTCTATTTGATTTCGATGTGAGACATTTACCACTTTTATTGTCTCCACCACCAACAATAAACCAGTTCTCCCCAACAGTCACTCCTGCATGACCAGCCCTAGGAGTGGGTATCTCACCTTGTTGTCTGGGTATTGACCATTCCATCTATAAATCCAAGTACGTAAAAGAGATATACTAATTTCTCAAAAGCACAAGCAAAAAGACTGAAAGAGTAATTATCTTACAGTTTGCAAATCAAAGACATGCAAATCATTGAAGCAAGTAGCATGTGAACCCCCACCAAAAATAAGAAGATAACGCTCTGCATGTACTGCAGCAGCATGTCCAGACCGCAGTGAGGGAGGTACCCCCCTGCATGACGATGATAATAAACAAATATCAAGAGTTATCGTGGAATACAACTGTTCCAATCTATAAAAATAATTGGGTGCAAGGGACACCTAAAAATAGAAGTATAATACAAGGATTATATCATGCTGAATTTTACTTCATAAATGTCCGTTTGTAAAGTGGTTGGCTTACATATCAATCACAGAGAAAAGAAGTTCAGAAATAGTACTAGAAAGCAGAATTTGGATTCAAGTATGCTGCATGTCCAATGTCAGTGTACCAAAAACAAAAATGAATCCATGCATGTGAAGTAATTTTGGACCACAACCTCGATATCAGTTTTGTATAGCATTTTTGGTAATTTAAATAATAAGTTCTTTACTGGAATGAAGCTGACGTAATTGTGAATTCAATTTTGATGGCAAACTACTCTTAGGAAAAAGATAGAAACTGAAACATCAGATAGCTGTTATGATAGTGGAACCTATTAGGTCAAAATTATGGACCAATCTGCTTGTGCTTTGCAACAAACCTAGTTCAAGCCAGATTTTGATATTTTGTAGGTAGCAAATGTAAACTCATTTACAATCTCCATGTTAAAGGCTTTATAAGTATCAGAAGCACATCTTTAACTGAAGAATGAAGATATCCAGTAACATATGTGGAGTGTGGAGAGACGGTGCAGGACCAAAATTGCCAAAAATATTCTTACACGGAATCAATTTCATCCCAGGTCAAGGTTTTTAGGTCAGGTATATGTAGATCATTCCTGAGCGTTAGCTTTGCATCCTGTCCACCAAATATTACTAAGATTCTTCCAACGAGGGTAACAGATTGACCACCACGAGCCAGCTGCAATACACTCAACTTAGGGTGAAAAACTCAAAACTATTGGGGAAGAATTTCAGAAAAAATACTGCCATGAGGAAAATAAAGGGGCAGAAAACTATATAAACACACATATCCAGTCGACATTTTTGCTTCTCAAGCCTTTGTTCAAGCATACCTATAAATTTTCAGCTAAACATTGCCTTTCAATCAACATTCTATTATTTAGTTTTCAGTTTCTTAGATAACGTATTCAATTGAGCAAGAAACGTTAATTCGCATAAAAAATCCGGAGGCTGGTCAAATTCTTTGTGAATACCACAACAACCATGAACCTGCTAAAGTTTCTAAATATAGTGCTGTAATTTTTTCTAGTTGGTACAGGAGAAAGAAAGATAGTTAACCAGAAGAAAAGATAAATACCGGTGCTTTTCCTTAAGTTGTCAACATTGACCATGTGCCGGTTTGCAGATCAAATGTCTTCACTGCCATAAGAATACAGAACAGTAGAATAAGAAAACAAGAGAAAGATGGAGAAAAATAGTTTCAAAATTTCAAATTGTTATAAGGGGAAAGAATGAGGACACTGGATAGTTTCATAAGGATCCTTTGTATGGCCAGCAATTGAAAGAAGCTTGTTCTCCCAAGGTATCTATAGGGAAAATAGAAGAGAGGGAGGGAGAGAATTAAATAATATAACTGCAGAAAGACAACCGGTACGAATACAAGAAAATTTAGCAAACAGATTCTAATGAAATGTGCACTCAAACTTTGCTTTTGAGAAATGAAAGGAAAATAAAAAGATACTCGGTTCTCTATGGCCAGAAATTTAAAGAAACTTGTTCTTCAAAAGTATCCATGGAAAAAAGTATAAAGGACAAAGAGAATTAAGCATGAATACTAGAAAATTTATCCAACATATTCTAAAGAGTTGTGCATAATTCTTAGAGAACATTGCTTTTGAGAAATCAAAGGAAAATAAAAAGAAAGTCAGCTCTCTACTAACCAATGAGTGACCAGCACAAGGGATTATATTTACAGTAGATGGAGGTTCCACCTACTTAGATCCAATCTTATCTTCAACCTTTGACCATATACAACTTCTCAAATCTAAAACCTGTATCAAACCTTACGTTAGGGACATGAAAACTGTCATGTAAAAATAGCTTAATAAAAGAGTATGAACAATAATGCAAAGCTTATCAAGACTGCAAAATTAGATTATAATTTCCAAGCAAAGAACTGGAAAGTGAGAATTACAATTTAGAAATATTTCATTTCAAGTCCAAAACCATACATTAAATTGAATTGTATAAGGAATATAATATAAGATGTTACGAGAACAACTCATGGAGAAATTGCATAACCATGCGTATTGCATGTTTAAAAGGTAAACAAATTACTTACATGAAGGTCATTTAGGTAACGACCATTGTGATTTCCACCATGTATATACATCTTGTCCTCGACAACTGCTGCTGCATGTTGACAAGTAAGAGCAAACATTCTTTAGATGCAGAAAAAGGAAAGATGAAGAAGAAAGGTATGGTTTAAATGACAGACACCAATACCTCATATCGGCCTTTAGGACGTTGACCGGTTATTGGAGGTGAAATCCATTGATCATATACAACAACCGAACCAAGGCCTTCTGGTACAACATCTTTGTCCTGAGTTTCCATCAGCCCTCCATTTTCAGCAGTAATTGTCGTTATCTCAATGAAAGAATTCCCATTCTCGATGATGGGTTCAACATTTGAATTATGCTGTGAACATGCAAACAAGTTTGAAAGGAAAAAGAAAGTGAAGAGAACTAAAGACCTCGATAAAAGCACTTCCAGTGAGCAATATGGCTTCTCTCATTTAAAATTTAACTACAGACCGAAAAGAACAATTGTACAGACACAAATTCCTCTAAAAGTTGAGAAGAAGATCTGTAACAGAGTTACATGCCCTTAAATGATAACGTTGCCCAACCAAAACTGTTAAAATAACAGAGCATGGGAAATATCAAAATAAGAACAAAAAATGAGAAAGTAACAGGTTACTCACATTAAATTGTACATCTGTGACAGGCTCCAAGCCAGAGTTAGAAGCTCGTGAAAACCATCCTGGTTCTTCTTCCTGGACAAGAAGTCCTCAAACTAAATTGATTCGTATACGTAAAAAAATTATCCGAAAAAGTTATTGATTTAAACCTCCAATATCTTCACGAAGAGACGCATAGCTTCTGTAGAAACCATCTTCCCGAGCTGCTGCCAGCTGTATTAATAGTGAAAAGTTTTATCAAAAGAATATCAAAAAGGAAGAAGAAGAAAAATTACACAAAACATTCATTTGACATATAATAAATTGCTTTGATCATCTAATACTTGAGTTTACACAATAGACAAACATAAAAAACAAGCGCATATATATACACATACTATGCAGAACAGTGCAACAATGTCACCAAATGTTGAAACAACCAATAAAATCAAACCCGCATATTTGCCTATCCATTCACATCTCTCCGAATAAACACTGCCACCATTAGCACCACTTTGAGCAAACAGATCAGAACATTATCACCTTAAGCATAACAATAATAAACTAAAATAACCATTACAACGCAACAACAAGAAGACTACAAAGGTAAAATTACAGATAGAAGAAAATGAGCTTGCAGACCTTCTCCATTTCCCTTGTTCAACAGGATTCCACAAACTCAGTTTTTGAACATGCATAGAAGGATTGTTTCAAGTAACTAGGATCTATGATACATAAAGATGGGGTGAAGATTATGACGTTTCACACCGTATAAAGGCGGGATGGCTAAAGTGGACTGGAGTTTTGTGTGACAAGAAGGTACATCTAAAAAGGAAAATTTTATAGAATGGCAATAAGACCATCGATGTTGTATGGATCAAAATGTTGGGTAATCAAGAAAGATCACGTAAGGAGGATAGATGCTGCAGAAATGAGAATACTTCGATGGGTATGTGGTAAGACTCTGTGGGACATGACACCAAACTCTGCTATTAGGATGTCCTTGGGGATGGTGTCTGTATTCGAAAAATTGAGGGTGGGAAGACTACGATGGTTTGAGCATGTCCTAAGACGACAACCATCAGATGCGGTTAGGAGAGTAGAGTCGATTACAGTCGATGGTACCAGAAGGAGAGGTCGATCAAGGCAGAAGTGGGAAGACTGATTGAGATCTGATTTGAAGAATTTAGCCCTTACCAAGGACATGACCTCTGATAGGAAATTATGGCGACTTAAGATCAAGGTAGTCGAGTAGGGCGAGTCACATCCATTGGGTATATCATCTTTGTCTTCTTTTAATGTATTTGTAGTAATTTCATTACTTATACTTTTTATACGTTTGTCATTGAAATTTATGAAGGCTTAGAATTAAGGTAGCGGAGTAGTGTTGCCTTAGTTTAGGTTTTATTCCATTTGACTTTATTCCTTCTCGTAGCCTGCTATCGTTGAATCCTGTGTATACTACTCTTCATGTTTCCTCTTTTTAATTTTGGCCGGGTCTTTCGTTTCTGTCTATATGCAGATAATTTTACGAAGGGATTTATTTGCAGGGATTACTTCCCATTACAGACGTGCATATGAAGATTACATATGAAGATTGTTCAACTACGTATTTTATTTATTTATTTAAACATGTATTGCATTTTATCTTTATTTTTAATTTTTTGACTGCTGAATGTCTTCCACGGAAGCTGCTCTCAACCTGGCGTTGGGGGACAACCTACTACCTTACCTCCTCCTTTCCCCATTGCATATGGAAATAGAGTTTTGTTGTTGTTGTAAGGACCTACAGTAGCCTGCAAACCACATAGCAATTCAGCAAAATGGTAACCTAACAAAACATGAGCTTCATATTTCAAGTGCTACATTTTTTTTTTAAAAAAGAAGGGAGGCCTCGTTAAAAATCATCCTTCATAACCGTCAAAACACTAAGGTATCTCGACGGACATTAGAAGGAGGAAAAGAGTGCTCAAAATTTTATCATCAACCAAGAAAAAACATTATAAAATGACCATTACAACAACACCACCTTACAGCATAAATAAACCTCCTAGAAAAACCAAAAAAACACAAGCTCATCCAATTCATATTTCAAGTGCTGCATAAATGTTTATTCAATTATTTGAGAGATCAACGTTCGAATTGTTTTGAATTCAGAGTGTACAGCCAGATCTACCACAATTATACTTCAAATGCTTTAATTATGTATACGGGAAATCAATTCTAACATACGAAATCCTTATCCGAATTAAGATACACATCACATTGCTGGAAATCAGAAAAAACTTAACAAGCCGGAGTCGAATTGGAGAAGGCGGGATCCAATGAACAAAGAGAGAAGGGAAAAGAGAATGGTGATATTACCTGCTGGTATAGGGCGTAGAGGATCAAAGCAGTGTCGTTGGAGAACATGGAGACAATATCCTTATTGCTGGGATTGGGAGACCCGTCGAATCCAGCGTAAGCCGCCGTCGCGTAGAACCGGTCGGGGTACGCAAGGCCAGAGATTGCCCCCGCCATCGTCGTCGGTTTTTGATTGCCTTTACTAAGTGTTTGTCTCGCGCATTTGAGTTTGACCAGAGAAATATGTACGTATTAGATACAAGGCTTTCGAGTTTGAGAAGTGTTTTAGCCGCGAACTGTTTAAAAATGTAATGTAGTTTTAGAGGGAGGTCTCCGGATGTTAACCTTTTGGTTTGACACTCGCATCATATCTTAAAAAGGAATTTCAACTGAAAAAGAAAAGGTTTTATTTACAAATTGACCCTAAACTATATCAAATTTTTATTATGCAAAACCATTCTTAAACATATTTGATTTTACGTCATCCTGTATATTATATACGATAAACATTGATTTCATAAACCATTCTTATACCATTACATTATGCAAATCGTATTCTTAAACCATTCTTTTGTCATTGCATGCGCTAAATATACTTTGTACCATCATTATCTCTCATTGATCATATATTATATTGAATTTTTTTATTAAGATCAATGCATCCCTTGCTATTCGTCATACGGCACATTGCAGTTTGCAAGAATGTAGCACTTGCCTATGTTGCGTTGCTGAAGGCCTGAAGCTTAGGGGTATAAATCAACAGAGTGTTTTGTGAACTATTCGTATAAAGTTCGTTTATTTTTGTTTGTTAAGCTAAACAAATGAATTTGAAAAAAAAATTATGCTCATTTAATAAACGAACGAACCCGAATAGAGGTGTGTTCGATTCGTTTATGTTCACGAACAAGCTCGTTTATGAAATTTTTTCTAAGCTCGTTTATCGACTCATTCATTTATGTTCATGAACATGTTTGTTTACCCAGTTCTCATTTCCCTTTAATTTTTTTACATTTTAAATATTGGTGAATGTAGTGACTAAATTAAATACATAGTAAAAATTAAAATTGTGAATTTTAACGAATTTAAGCACTTATGGTATAATTTTACCAAATTCTCTTTAGCTTGTAAATGAGAGGATAAAACTAAAAAAATTGAACACTAAACAAACAATAAACAAAAGCTAATTAAACATGTCAAAGAACACTAAATGAGTTTGTTCGTGGACATATAAACGAAAATGTTCATGAATATTAAACGACCATGCTCACAAACATAAAACAAAAGAATGCAAATACTTTAAAAATAAATAAATGAATATGAACAAAATAAAAAAAATTTAAACGAATACGAACCGAACATAAATACTTAAAAAATAAACAACAAACGTAACATTCTTCGTTTGAGTTTGATTCATTTACACCCCTCCTAAAGCTCGCACGGACTATTCATAGTCTTGTTGCTTTATGTCCTTTAAAATGAGCGCATCAATGCAATTATGACGCTAGAATCTAGATTGCCTTGATTTATAGTCGTTCACCATTGCCAAAGTTCCAGTCAGTGCTCACTGACAAGGGATGCGGCTCTTCAGGAGTTCAGGTACCGCTATTCCATACTCGAGACAACAACAAACAAGAATGGAACCAAGGGTTCGAGTAGTATTGTTAATAAGACGTGTATTCAAACAAGAAAAAAGATACTGTAATAAGATGAGAAAGTATAAATATTTTGATATTAATTTTACTGCAAATTACTATCATGGATAAAAATAACAGTCCATTATTAAAAAATCAATTTAAAAAGTATGAAAATATTTTTTTATAATTCAATAATCAAAACAATATAACTTCTAAAATTCAATAATTATGATTTGATATTAAAAAATTAAAACTTTTCTCATATTTTAATAAAATACTTTAGTTTTCACCCCTAGTGGGTTTTACTATGTGTGTAACAAATGGGCTGCTTGTTTCTCTGTTTGAATTTATATTGGGCTAGAAAATAAGAAAGTAAACAAACTCAATTGCCAAAACAAGACTGGGCTCAAACATAAACCCAAGTTTAATGTTGGGAAAAAAGTTTGGATCGATTTTCAAAACCTTGGGTTTTCTGTGTTAACCGAGTTAGGTCAACCAATCTACATATAAAACCTCACATTGCCGTTTGCTTCCTCCTCCTCCTCTGCCGCCTGCTAAGCTTTCGAGGGATTTTGAGGTTGCTCTTGAAACATCTAGTGGCCAAGCCAAAATGGTCTGTTTAATCTCTTGCCTGGTATCTTCTTCTTATTTTTTTTTAATAATTGAACTTGATTTGTGGATGTTTGGAATTTTTAGGTTCTCCAAAACGATGTCGATTTGTTGAATCCTCCAGCGGAGCTTGAGAAGAAGAAACACAAGCTCAAGCGTCTCGTTCAGTCCCCTAATTCGTTCTTCATGGTAATCGTTAAAACTTTATTCTTTATGATCTAAATCTTACATCTGCTCGTATAAATATGTTTGGGGTGTTAAATTTGTTCTTTTGTTCTTCATTAAGGATGTCAAATGTCAAGGCTGCTTCAATATGTAAGTTCTTTTATTGTTTGAATTGTCTATCGATCTTTAAAATTAATGTAATTTGTCTTCAATGGATCATATTGTCTAAATCTTGTGTTCGTTTTTGTTTTGGACAGAACAACTGTGTTTAGCCACTCTCAAACAGTGGTGGTGTGTGGTAACTGTCAGACTGTTCTCTGCCAGCCAACCGGAGGTCGAGCTAGACTCACCGAGGGATGCTCTTTCAGGAAGAAGGGAGACTGATCTGCTACACCATTGACACCGAGTATTGGTTGTTCTGAAAATGGATTCTCTTTTCTGTTTTTGAAGATATTTGTCTGAACATGGTTCAACTTGTTTTTTCTTGCTTCCAAGATATGTTAGATTTTGTAGTAAGTTTTAAGGATTTGATTCTAAGCTTGTTACTTTATGGTTTTGATCAAGTATGGATGTTGTTGAAATTAATGTTTTGAGTTGCTTTTTGATTGTTTTCCGGATATTATGTCTTCTAAGCTTTATATAGACACGCTTTGTATTGATCAAAACCTTGTCAAGATTTGACTCGAGTTCAGTATATTCGAGTGTGACTTTTCCAGCATGAACCTGCAGGTTCAGGTCGGACGGTTGGTCTAGGTTAGCGGTTGCATGGAGAGATGAAGAAGGCCATATGATCATTGTGCATGAATCTGTGATGTCTTCTCGAGTTTGCATTTCAAGCCACAATGGTTTGTATTTCTTGTCACCAAGACCCTCCTCTCGATCTTCCACCCGGCTTGAAAATTGGGGTCTTGTTGAACCATTTCATTGGTCTTGTAGTAAAATGAACAGTAATCTCGAACCCATTGTTCAACTGCAAACCAAAATTCCAATCCATCAACACCATATGCATTGTCTTTTATCAGAGTTGAAGACCGGTTGATGAATCTTTATCATCGACTGCAAGTCTTCTGATAAAAAACAACCATATGGAACCTTCAACTCTATGTTGTTCAGATGAATAAACCTTGCCAACAACACCACATCGATCCCCATATGGATGTGGCAAGAACTCAATTCAATCGCCAATGGCTTCGAAGTCCCATCATCCAAAGCTTCATCGAAGTAGAATTCTTCTTTATGAGTTATGGCATTTGTGAATCATGATGATTCAATATGAACAACTTGTTGATCTCGAGAGCCAGTCCATCCCAAGCTTTTCAAATACGTATGTCCTACAATTTATAATTATATTCAAAGGAAAGATCAATATTAGTCTGTTGTACCACCTCGAATATTAAGATCTTTAACATAATCGTGAACGAAGCTTCATATGAGCATCTTTTGATATAAGAACACTCAGGTGACATATTAAAATTAATATCAATTAAGTTTACCTAACTTATAAAAAAACTATTTTTATTCTAAACCTGACATTAAAATTAAATATCAATATATAAACTCGTCTTAATAGAGAAGAGTTTGATTTTTTTTAACTAGTTTTGAAAATTTTAAAACTTTCACTGTTAATTTTTCTTTTGTATCATTAATATTTTCAATTGATTGAGGTTTGATTAACACTTCAATAAAAAAAATGAACTATACATGGTCGATAACACCCATTTATTTCTATCAACATAAATGAATTTAAACAGATGAATTTAAAGAAATGAACAAAAAAATAACTAATCTTTATAAGACTAATCTTATGGGTTACCTTTGCCCTTTGGGCCACATAACCATGTCCTTATCCTCCTGATTCGGCAAACATGCTGACTGCCAGCCCAAGACACCGGTTGCAGCGGATCTCATTCTACTTTAGAAGCATGGACTTCTGCCCCCTACTTTTTGTTTTCCCTCTGTCTCCGTCTCCTCTGTTTCACGCCAATGGTGCGTGGTCTCTGTCACGATCACAATTCCCTATACGAAATCTAATTTCCACTTTTCGATAACCTTTCTTTTTCAAACAGCAAATATTCCCGTTAATAATTTATTCTGTTTTCTTTTTAAAATCCATGGCATCAGTTTTTTTTCAATTGTTTGAATACTATATAAATTAAGCTAAAGCTAGAATTTTCAGAGTGCGATCTCTGTTTCTTTCTTTGTTTTAGATGGCGACCACCCAAGGTCAGGATCTCCTAATTTCTGGTGAGTTCACTGACTGTTTTTTTCCATTTCCAGAACTGCTTGGTTTGTGTACTCTCTGCTTGATTCCCGGGAAAATCATTTGCTTCTGATTTAAGTTTTGGTTTTCGTGGAGTTTGCCCTGTTAATTTCTGTATGTTCTTTTGTTCCCATTTTCATCATCTTTATCAATTTAAATAAGAAACTAGCTGAATTATTAAATAGAGTTTAATTCATTTTTTCTTCATTTACTTGTTCATTTGGAAATTTCTGTTGATTTATGGAGTACTAATTTGGATAGCAGTGGTTTTATATTTGTTTTGGAAGGAGTAACCATTACAATCATATATTTTTATCTTGTAGAACTTCGTGAGAAGCACAGAGCAGAATTGGAAAATCTTACATTAACAAATCAGCCCTTAAGAACTCTGAAACTTTTTGTTCTTGCTATTACTCAGTGGATTCATCAAACAATTCAAAATCGAGCTGGTTGGTTCATGTTTTCAAGCACTTTGGCTGGAAGTACTGGGATTTTGGTCATCACCGTTGGTAAACATCATGAAATGGTATGATGATTGTAGATGCTTAATTTGTCTGGGAAGTTAGAAACCAGAAAAAAAAAAAAAAAAGATAGTGGGGAAATAACTACCAGAAACGTGGGACATTTAACCACTAAAAAAGAAAGAGGGAGGTCAGTTTTTTTGGAACGACTGGAAACCATCAGGAGGGACATCAACGAGGGGAGATCACAGAAAAGAGAGGAGGAAGAACGAGAGAAAACAAAGACCATTGGAACAGAGGAAGAGAACAAATCAAAAAAAAAAAATTCTTTTGTAAAGGTCTCTCGACCACCATTTTGGAAGGAATAAAGGAAAGCATTCTTTTATTCATTCTGCCAGTAGAAGTAAATATCATTCATTCACAAAGGCAATAGCAGTTTCTCGAGGTATATTCATTCTAAGTTTATTTTTTATTTACAGTGTAGTGTGTGTTCTATTTAGATAAGCATGATAAAAGAAGAAAGCTTTGAAGTAAAAACAGAAATGAATAGTTAGTTTTATACTTATTTTACTTCAATTTCTTTGGAGAGGAGTGATCCCAAGTCTTCGTTGAGAGTGGAAATTTGTTAGACGGGTGTATAGGATATTTCTTGGCCCCAGATTTTAAGAGCAAGCAGAGTATTTCCAAACACAAATAGAAGCAATATTGGAAAGCCCCGTATTACCATTGTTTTTTTAGAAGCAATGTAACAGGCTTCTCGGATTTTAAAATAAAGGAAAGCTTTGTAATTTCTTCCCCTTCGTTTTTCAGAGAAAACAAAACGCACAATCATTCCTATTTTTCATTTCTTTTCTCCCATACGAAAATAGTGTACAAAGAATAGTAAAGAGATTTATCAACCATTTTTCTTTGCATTTCCAGTAAGTTTTCTTCCCCATATTTGAACCAAAATAATAAGAAATGAAAGAGCAGAGATGAGATGAAAGAGAGTTACCTTGCTTTGATTGAATCTTCGTCGGAATAGAGAGACTGTTCTCGTCTAGTCGTTGGGCTTAAGAGCATGAATTATTGCGGTTAGCTTTGGGAGGTTTTCTTTGTAGATTCATTTTAGTGTCCTAGGTTTTGAGGTAGGAAAGAATGAAGTCTGGATTTGTGAGTTTTCATCTAGGCTACGACTGTCACGGATGATAGCTAGAGTCGATTTCATCACCAATGAATGGTGGAGTTCACGGTACTCATGGAGATTGAGGGAACTGATTCTCATCTTGGTTGTAGGGGTTAAACGAAGAAGTGAAACAGAGAGAGTTAGGGGAGAAGAGAGGTGTTGTCGTGGAGAAGATGAGTGGAGAGCAAAGTGAGAGAGCGGCTAAGGTAGTGTGAGTTTAGGATTAGGTTTAGTTTATAATTAGAATTTATATTAGAAATGTTAGGGTTAATTATTCGTAAGGTCTAGTATATTTAGCTTAGTATATTTAGAATTTATATTAGAAATGTTAGGGTTAATTATTTTAGAAGTTATTAGCGTGAGGTCTAGTATATTTAGCTTAGTATATTTTAGTCCTCGATTAGAATCTTTTATTTTTCATTTTAGTTCTCATATTTTTTTGCGTATTTGATTTCATCCTTAATTAGTAATATACTTAAAATCTATTTTTTTAGACATTTCATTCTTAATTTTCGCATGTTTCGTTTTAGTCCATGTTTAAGTTTCTTATGTGTATGCATGTATGGTTAGTTAGGGTTCGTTTCGTGTGTATGTTTATCCTAGGTTTGAATGATGGCGATATGTGTGCATATGTTATTATACGGTTCATAAGCATGGATTTAGATATAATATATACTTTTATTTAATCGATCTTTACATGACATCATTTTGGTATAATTTGCATGATAGCCTCATTTGCATAACTTGACCTATTACATAATCGGACTAAGGGTAATACACTTTTAATTTAAAATTGTATTAAGTGGGCAGTCATAACTGATTTGAGGTCCGCTTTTAATGATTTTAAAATAAAAGTGTATCCCGAAAGTGAAACCTAAAAATTGATCCATCACACTAAAATTTGGGAACGAGAGAAAAAGAAATGTTCGTTTATTTAAATATATCGAGAAAAGGTTGTTATATCTTTAAGATCTGGTCTCGATATTTGTAAATAATCGAACATTCTTTATCTTTCTAAAATGACTTGGTAATTTTAATTTAATTTGTTTGAGTGTTTTTGAATGTTTTAAATTTACATTTTTACTTTATGGGATCAAGAATCAAAATAAACTCGAATTTATAAAGTTCATTGCAAAGACGTTAATTAATCGACTAGGTACCGATTTAGGGCGTTGTGGGGGTGCTAATCCTTCCCTACACGCAACCGACTCCCGAACTCGGATTTTGGTAACGCAGACCTCAATTTGTTGTTTTAATTAAAATTAATTTTTATTTAAAATGACAACGCATTTTTGGGTGTCCAATCACACCCTAATCAAAGATTGGTGGCGACTCTTCGAACCTTATTTGTCGATCGTAAAGGAAATTCAAATTTTTCGAAACGAGAGGTCTTTTAAATCGCATATGTTTTTAAAATGAAAAGAGACAATTAAGAATTAATGTGGTTTTCAAAATCTCACATTTTTTCACCTTTTAAAAAAAATCGTTTCGACAATGATATCAGATATTATTTACACTATTTTGCTTGTAGTGAATATTTCAATCTAAATCATAGAAGATCAAATCGCTGCTTGTGTTTTGGTTGGTAGTACTCCATTTTATTTTAAGCCTCCATCTTTGATACCCGTACCCGACACATATTCGGACATGAACATAACGGTGTTTAGACCTGTACCTGTATCCAACACTCACCTCGAGTGAATCTCTTTTGTCATCCAAGTTGGAAGTGCAAACAATTGTAATATTGATCATAGTTTTTTGCTTGTGTGTTGGTTTGAATAGGAATATTTACAGTTATCAGCTTCATTTCATGTTAATGTTTCAATGCATACTTGGAAGCTGCAATAGTATTTTGATTTTTTTCTCTGTTCTGATAAAGAATGGTACTTTGACAGATTCAAGAGCTTTTTCATTATGTTCAATTTGGACTTTGGTGGTTGGCCCTTGGGGTTGCATCATCAATTGGTCTTGGTAAGGGCAGTTCTACTTTGTCACTATCAGATTTTTTACTGCTACTATTATATTCAAGGTTATCGTATTCGTACCATTAGCGTAATAGACGGGTTCTATGACGTTTCCCTTGCATCGCCTTACATTCTGGGATTTGAGCTAGCTAGCTTAATCAACATTTATGTTGTGAAATGACTCTCAAATGAGAGGCCTACTTGCCGGTGACAAATCCTTGAGGACCGAATCCATTGGGCGCTTAGGGGAAGACATCCTAGAACTCGGACATTAAAATTTGCTTCCGAAGTATTCCGTTCATAGTTTCCCTGCAAGTTTACCCCGATGGTGAATTGCATTGGCATTTCAGTTTAAATAGATGGTGATAATGGCTTCACTAGATTAGCTGTCACACTACTTTGGTATTGCTATTGTGTTCTTTTTTCTGTTTAAAACAAGTTTCTTCTTATTCTCAATAAAATCATCTTCACACATGGATTTTTTTCCTATGGGATTTTGAATTTGTTGTATTCTCTTAGGATCTGGTTTGCACACGTTTGTCTTGTATTTGGGTCCACACATCGCCTTTTTTACTATGAAAGCTGTGCAATGTGGCCGTGTTGATTTAAAAACTGCTTTATATGACACGATTCGACTGAACACCGGTCCTTCATGGCTGAATAAAAATTGCTCCGAATATGGACCTCCATTGTTCTCATCAGCACATGGTTCTAGAGTTCCACTCAGTAGCATATTGCCTCAGGTTCAATTAGAGGCCATCTTATGGGGTATTGGAACTGCACTAGGGGAGCTCCCTCCATACTTCATATCTAGAGCAGGTAGCAAGGGCTTGTACACTTCCATTATTTCCCGAATCTTTTTTGTTTCAAAATCCACAATTCGACCTTGCCGGTTTATAATCTTCATTTCCCAACTTAAATGCTTTCGCAGCTCGGATATCAGGTAGCAAGTTGGATATCATGTATGATTTTGGTTCTTCTCCAATGGAAGATGGTAGTAACACATCCAATCATCTGAAACAGATTAAGAATTGGCTACTTTCACACTCCCAATACTTGAACTTCTTCACAATCTTAGTTCTTGCTTCGGTAATCCGGAACGTTTTTTCTTTTTCATTTTCTTCACAATTTTATTTGTACTTGTGATTGTAACTTTGATCAATGCTATGAAAGAGTAGGTAGGTATTCATGGTAATGTACTACTGATTTGTGTTAATGAATCTCTGTGCTATTCTTGAATCAAAGGGCTGTCTTTCTGTTAGTAACACATGAATTTATACTTTTCTGATTCAAGTGGTCTATTTTCAGGTTCCGAATCCACTATTCGACCTTGCTGGTATCATGTGTGGGCAATTTGGTATTCCATTTTGGAAATTCTTTCTAGCAACACTACTGGGAAAGGCAATTATTAAAACTCACATTCAGGTATGAAAAGTCCTAGATTTCATCTCAAAATGTAAGTAAAATGAAACTTTGATGTTATTTTATGGTTGATATTGCAGACGGTTTTTATCATCTCAGTTTGCAACTATCAGCTTCTCGACTTCATTGAAAACGAGTTCGTTAGAGTGCTCAGCTTCATTCCCGGACTAGCCACCATCATGCCTAACCTTATTGGGAAACTGCATACTGTTAGGGACAAATATATGTCACCCTCTCCTCCAGTTCCCGCGAACATTAAGGTAATGTATGAAAGCTGATGAGCATACATATGCAGGATGCCTCAGAAACTAATCTAGTTTTTTACAGGTGAACAAGTGGGATTTATCGGTTGCTTCGATTTGGAACACTGTAGTATGGCTGATGCTGCTAAACTTCTTCATTAAAATCGTAACAGCAGCTAGTCAGAACTTTCTGAAAGAACAACAAGAGAAAGAGTTGGTAGCGTTATCGAATGATTCCTTCGAATCAAATCTGTCAACTTCTAAATCCATTCAGGCATTCGATATATAGTTTAATCGTAGTTCCGTCCCCTCATGTTGATCATTTTCATCATGCTTTGCTTCACCATGAAGCGATGATTTTAGTGACCGAACATTTTTAGAATCTGTCACGATTAATAGGTTTCCGCAGCCTACACGTTCTCGTGTTTACTTTGTCTAGAAAACTTAAGGAAATAACAGGGTGAAAAAAGTTCAGTGGTATTGGATTGTGGAGTTTGTTGTTGAATCCTCAATACTACTAACGATTCATAATTTTATATTTTTATTTAATTTTGTTAATGATTTCGTATAATACTTTTAACGATTCATAGAATACTATTGATCAAAGAACGGTTCAATTATCGAATCAATTGGTTGAAGGCTCCATTCTGCAGAACCTCAACATGTACAGCAACAGAAGACAAAACAATGAGCATTGGATTAATATTTTTCTATTTTTTTGCAAAATAATGATTTTCGTACAAGTCTTTGGTTCAAACTCAATCCGACACATTAATGTTTTCTTAATTTCTCTTATCAAAATGATGGCGTTTCGATATGGTATTTACGTCAGTTATTGTTATCTATATCATCTCGCTATACTGCTATTACCTAATTAATTGTATGATGGTATAACTGAAAAGAAAATAAAAGTTTAGTACTTCAATTGAAACAATTGAAAGGTTAATAATATAAACAATACATCTAAATTTAGTTATATACTATGTAGTTTATCTTAAATAAATTTATCAATTAAAAATTTAAAAAAAATTGTAGAGAGTAACACAACTTGATCCAATCTATTGTTGCGGAAGACGGCTATCGGATAGAGCAAAAATGCAACTGATAATTTTAGAAAATAAAAATTGAAGATAAAAGAGACACGAAATTTACGTGGAAAACCCCTAAATAATATAGGGTAAAAACCACAGGCAATGGTAGAAGAATTTCACTATGAGAAAAATAGGAATTACAACCTCTTTCGATCTACTAAGGAAAAAACAATGATAATTCTCTCTTGATAAAAAATGAGAAAACAACTCTCAATAAACTCTCTAAATTCTCTCTAGTATTGGAAGAAAGCTAGAATGCTTTGGGATGATTTTGAAGCTAAATGAGCTAGGGTATTTATAGTTGAAGCTTTAAGGACTAATCTTGAAAATACCCTAAAATATAATGACTAATTTTAGCTATTTTACCATTTATTAATTTAATAATTGGTGGCCAAAATTGACTAAATTAGCCGCCCATTAATGTTGAAGCCGCCCCATTATGTTGCTTTGATTTTTCAACAATCTCCCACTTGAAGATTTGATTAGAACAATCATATCTTCACACCATTCTTTCTATCATGTACCTTCATATTGCTTATATTTCTGTCAGGCCACAAGAGGATCGACACCAGGTAAATTTATCAGCGTTGATCGCCTTGGTCATGAAATCTGCTATGTTATCTTTGGTATGGACCTTCTGCATATCTACCGTCACTTTTTCTACCTTTTCACGAATAAAATGGTACTGAACTCGTATGTGCTTTGTCCTTGAATGAAATGCTGGATTCCTTGCTAGATGCAAGGCGCTTTGATTGTCACAAAATAGAGAGACATACTCTTGATTGTGCCCAAGCTCCTCCAATAGCATCTTCAACCAAATTGCTTCTTTACTGGCTTGTGTAGCTGCTACATATTCTGCCTCTGTTGTGGATGTAGCCACAACTGACTGCAATTTTGAAACCCAGCTTACAGCTCCACCAGCAACTTTGAACACATATCCTGTAGTATATTTGCTTTTATCCAAATCCACTGCATAGTCAGAATCTACATAACCATTTATCAGTAAGTTTGATCCTCCGTGACATAATGCAACATTTGAGGTTCTTTTGATGTATATCAGGATCCTCTTTACTGTATTCCAATGCTCTTTGCCTGGATTCGCCATGTACCGACTAACCACTCCCACTGCTTGTGCAATGTATGGTCTTGTGCATATCATAGCGAACATCAAACTTCCCACTGCTGATGCATACGGTACTCAAGACATCTCCATCCTCTCTTCTTCACTGCTAGGACTCATACTGGAGGATAATTTGAAGTTAATAGGAAGAGGGGTAGAAATTGGCTTACAATCTTGTATGCTGAATCGTGACAAGATCTTCTTCAAGTAAATCTTTTGTGAAAGCCAAATCTTCCTATTAATTCTGTCTCGGTGAATTTGCATCCCTAGAATCTTGTTTGCTGATCCCAAGTCCTTCATTTCAAATTCCCTAGCCAGTTGTGCCTTCAATTCTTCAATATGATCTTTGTTGGGTCCTACAACCAACATGTCATCCATATACAACAGCAATTTAACAAAATCATTATCACCAGACCTCTTGAAATAAGCACAAGGGTCTGCATTAAGTCTGTTGTATCCAAGGCACATAATGATGGAATCAAATCTCTTATACCAACACCTCGGCGCCTGCTTTAGACCGTACAGAGATTTGTTCAACCTGCAAACCAAGTTCTTCTTTTCTTTTTCTTCAAAACCTTCAGGCTGGAGCATATAAATCTCTTCTTCAAGATTTCCATGAAGAAAAGTTGTTTTAACATCTAGCTGCTCTAGATGTAAGTTCAATGTAGCACACATTGCCAAAACTACTCGAACTGTTGTTAGTCGAACCACGGGAGAAAATATTCCATTGAAATCAATACCTTCTTTTTGAGCATATCCTTTGACCACCAGTCTTGCACGATACCTCTCAACTTGATCATCACCATTTCGCTTGATTTTGAAGACCCATTTGTTACCAATTGGCTTCATTCCTTGTGGTAGTGACATAAGGTCTCATGTATTATTTTTATGAAGGGCTTCGATTTCTTCTTGCACCGCCATCATCCATAGTGAAGCATCTGAGCTGTTTATTGCCTCCTGGTATGTTGATGGCTCACCGTCCTCTGTTAAAAGGCAGTATGCAATATTACCTTCTATAACATAATCTGAGTGCCAATTGGGACATCTTCTCACACGATCTGATTGACGAGTTGTTGGAGCTTCAGAACTCTCTGGTTCTTGTTCATCATGTGTTGGTTCTGCTTCAGAAGAATCTCCCTCTTCAACCTCCTTTTCCACATGTATCTGTGTAGTCTCTGACTTTTCAGTGCTATCATCGTCTTCTTTTCTCTGTAGTTTATCTTCTACAAAGATAACATCCCTGCTGATGATCACTTTGCGGGCAGTGGGATCCCACAAGCGATACCCCTTGACTCCATCAGCATACCCCAAGAATTTGCATTTCCTGGATTTTGGATCCAGCTTTGAGATTTCTTGGGAGTTGTACATCACGTACACGATACTTCCAAATACATGTAGGTTTGAATAATCTGCTGGTTTACCAGTCCACATCTCCATTGGTGTCTTCAGCTGTATTGCAGTTGATGGAGCTCGATTCACCAAATAACAAACGGTATTGACTACTTCTGCCCAGAATGATTTTTCTAGGCCTGTATCCCTCAACATTGCTCTTTTTCTTTCTAACAAGGTTCTGTTCATCCGCTCTGCCACTCCATTTTGTTGAGGAGTGTTCCTCACTGTGAACTGTCTTTTGATGTCTTCTTTCCTGCAAAAGTCATCAAATTCTTCGCTTGTGTATTCTCCTCCATTATCTGTTCTGAAACACTTGATCTTATTTCCATAATCAAGTTCCACCCGCGCCTTGAAGTTTTTTGAAAGTTGAAAACACGTCTGACTTCTTCTTGATAGGGTACACCCAACATCTCCTGGAGTAGTCATCAATAAATGAGACAAAGTATTTTGCTCCACCTAGGGATGTAACTGGTGCTTGCCATACGTCAGAGTGAACCAATTCTAGAACACTTTTGCCTCTAGAATTTGATTTGTTGAATTTCAACCGATGCTGCTTACTTGTTATGCAATGGTCACACAAAGTAAGTGATACCTTTGTTAAGCCTGGAAGTAGCTTTTGCTCCACAAGGACTTTCATTCATTGTTCTGACATGTGTCCAAGTTTCTTATGCCATAGCATTGCAGAATCTGAACTACAAGTTTGCAGCTATCTTTTCACCTTTCAGCACAACAAGCACTCTACGGAACACCTTAATGATTCATTTTCGTGTTTTAATCTTGCTTGCATTATTATCCAACAATCCGTAGGATAATAAATTTTTCTTTAGGCCTTTCAATTGCCGCACATCTCGAACAACTTTAATTGTTCCATCATACATCTTCAATTTGATGGTTCCTACGCCAATGATCTCTAAGGCATGATCATTGCAACTATACATAGATCTTCCTGAGACAGGTTCATATTGATGGAACCATTCTCTTCTTGAGGTCATGTGATATGTTTGCTCCTGAATCAATGAGCCATATATCTGTAAATCGTTTTCTTCCTTCCACGGTGGTTGACGCTTCACAGCATAGAGCATCTCCATCATCTGAAGTGTTTACGATATTATCTTGTGGATTGGAGATTTTATTTAGACTCCAACAATCCTTCTTCAAGTGACCCTTCTTTCCACAGTTGTAGCACTTTAAATTCTTCTTGCTCCTTGACTTCGATCTATCATGTTTGTGATTGCTGCTTTGGACACGTTCTGGTGATCTCCCTCTCATCGTTGTCAATGCTTCTGCTTGTTACAGATTTACTTGTCTGTCTTCCTTGTTCTTGCGCCGATTTTCTTCTTGGAGAACAGCAGCTACAACGTCATCGAAGACTAGACTGGTGACATTACTGTTTGTCAAGTTAATGATGAGTTGATCATACGAATCCGGTAGACTTTGAAGTAGAAGTTCAGCACATTCTTGTTCTCCTATTTTACAGCTTAAGGATGTAAGCTGAGAAAATAAGGTGTTCAGTGTATTTAAGTGCTCCGTCTCTGAAGTAGATTCTGGCATACGGAGAGTGTACAATTTTCTCTTAAGGAAAATTTTATTGTGCAGCGATGTGGCCTCGTACAATTTGGTGAGATGATCCCATATCTCCTTAGCTGTCTTATTCTCCTCGATGCTTGACAATACTTCATCTGCTAATGCTAGATGAAAGTT